GTATGAAAATTGTATTTGAATTATTTATCGTTTTGAAGCTTTATATAATTATATACACCTGAGGATGGTTCTTTTAGGAACTGGAACATGTCATGAAACATGAAAAATGATGGTCTAATGTAAATCGAATATTTTGATAAAGAACATCATTTAATATTTTAAATGTTAATTATTGTAATATTTTAATATTTAATAATTATTGTGATTAGACGGACAAGATTTAATATATAATTTCATTACATTACATTACCTTACCTTACCTTACCTTACATTTCATTACATTCAGCTACCACAGACCCATCTTAAGCATAACTAATTCAAGTTAAATAAGCAATGTCTTAATCAAACTTATCTCAATTGTAAAGCATGTATAAAGGAAATATTTAGAATAAACAAAATATATAAACTTCCTTTCTCCGTATAGATGTATTTACGTCAAATTCTCCGGAACCGTGGTTCCAATGACAACTTTTTTTTGTCACTACTGACCCTATGAAGGTTACATAATATCATAGTTTTAACATGCTTACATGTGTTTCTCCTCCCCCCACCCTTAATAATTTTTAACCAATGGAAGAATTTTCAAGAATATAACATGAACATAGTAGTGTTGCACAGTCTTCCTCTTCAATATATGTGATTAATGAAACTTGGCACTTTGTGTGGTATTTTGTGCTTATATACACGTCATGAAGAATCATTTTTGTTACAATATATGTGCATGGCAACTGTGCAGAAGTTTAATGTAACTGTGAATAGTGGGAATCAGTACTTTCAAAAACTGTTTAGAAAAAGCTGTTAAATATTAATTTGTAATATCTCTAGCATTTCTAATACACAAGAACATATTCAAAGGAGAGTAGACCATTATTATCTGAGGCCAAGCTCTGTAGCCCTGGAAGGAATGTGGAAACTGTGATATGGTTGGTGGCAAAGAGAAGGAAATATAACTACTATTTGTAATGAAAATATTGACCAAGTTTGCCTTTGCTCAACTTGCATAGTCTACATGCTGATTTGCTTTAGTATTTGTCAGTATTATCAAACATGAATATAATTTACTAAGGACAGATTCTTTCCACGTCACAGAGCACAGGAAGTTAGTAGTTGGCTTCTCACCACGTAGGTATGTTTTCAGGGTGGATATTAGCTGTGTACACCAGTTAAGCAGTAGCCTCCTCATTTGCTATGTTGCCTGTCCTTATTCCACCTCCTCTCCCCCATACCTCATCGCACAGAGCTTCAGAGCTCAGACCTGAATTGTAGTTTACGCAGAACATGTTATATATAATATATTATAAATATATTTGTTTTGTCTGTCATCTACTATTTATTTCATGTTTATTTTTTAGGTATTGATTTATTACAAGATATACCACTAGATGCTGCAATAACAGAAACCACAGACCAAGGAAAGCCTATAGTTGTAGCCCTGCCAAACAGCACTCAGGTAAAACAAATTGAGTTCAGTCAGGATCTAGTACAAATTCTTAATTATATTGTCATTTTTGTGATGTTTAGTCTGATGGTTTGTTTATTAATGGGGAAATTGGGGTTGTAGTTTGCATAAACAAGTACAGAATGGCTCTGGGACTCAAAAAATTTCAAAACTAAGAACCCTTGTCAGAGGATAAAAGCAGCTGGAGTTTTAAGTTGTTATTCACCTCCGTGTGTTGCCTATGTTAAAAGTGCATGGAGTTCTTCCTTTATGCCCTTTATGGCATGGAGCTTAGTTTAAGGATAACTCTGTCCTAGAGGGCTAATGAACAAATCTTGAAAGACATGGTGACATGGTCCTCATATTTGTCTTGAGGTGAAACAGGCATAAGGTCTAACCATTGAAGATGACAATACCTTTGAAAGCAGCTGTTAATGTTTATGCTCTTTGTTTGCACCAATTGTTGTTGCTCCTTGCTTCTATAACACAACCCTTTGTTGGTCTTAACTGCCTCCTATTCAGAAGTGTGCATTTGTGAGTAGTGAGTGACCAGCCCACTGCCTCTGCACAATGTCTACTCAATTCTGATTTGACTGCCAGAGCCATCTAGCAGTGAATCAGGAACTTGGGTGAGAAATAGCTGAATTGTGCTTATGAAACATCTCATTCATGCTTGTAAGGTTCTTTTACATGACATAAATCTATGACATGGGACTGCCGGCTTTACCTGCCCTCCAAAGGAAGTGTTACAGATTTTTATCACCCTAAAAAATCCATCGACCTTGGTCGGGTTTGAACCCGCGAACCTTGGGTCCAGTGGCAAGCATGCTAACCACTAGTCCACCACTGGTGACTTGTTTGCACCAATAAATTGTGCAAAATTTCAGTGGCCATTCTTATAAAATTAAACTATCTGTAGTATATAATACACACTCTAGGAAGCTCATGGACATCTATATTCATTTTTACCTTAATATACTGATGGAATGCATGTGACAGGGTGAATTAAAAGAACAATATGTGCTGGATTTTGTTTCCAAATCTAGTCCCCTAGTTCGTTTGAATATATTCTTGTTCTTCACTTTGCCACACTGTTTAAATTCAGGGTATTCTGACCCTATAAGATAAGTTAATTGTCCTTTTTCTCTGTTTTATAAGCATAGGAGGGGCATCCTAATTTTCTCATCTTTCAGTGCAGTAGAGGGTTAATATTTAAGTTACAGAATTGTAATATTATTTTTATTTCAGGCTGAAGCATATAAGAAACTTGCTGAAAAAGTAATAACATTCTTAAAGAAGCAGGAAGTGCAAAGAAATAAAAGTTGAAAATGTATTAACTTCAAGGCGGCAGATTTATTATGGATAACAATTTAGAAGAATGGTATCTATCAAACCACTGCCCACCCAGTTTCAGCTGGCAACAGTTACCTTTGTTACATTTAAAGTCCCAAATACTACCTTATGCAGTAACTCTAATCTACATGATATGCTGACATGGTCTGGCAGACAAAGCCTGTATTACAGTGTTCCAAGTACAGGACTGTCCAAAAATATAATACCCTAAGCTAAATTACTACCCTAAATGCAACGCAATAAATTGTATAAAGCACCTTCCCATGGATCCATTGAATCTCACTTGATAATTATTGCCAGCTGAGTTAAATGTATTTAACTACATTTGTTTGTTTTTTAAAATGTTCAGTTATATTACAGTAGAACTCACATCTGATAATCTTATTCATAATAAAGACTACTTTTATTGAAGTGTGGTAGATCTGACTGAGCTGATTTGGAAGAGGATGCAGTACTTTACCTTTTTTACATTTGTTCTGCAATACATGCAGATATGTGTTAAAAGAGGCTGTAGAAACAGTCACTTCGGAAGTCAAAAATCACATGTGAAAAATGCCAGGCCCACACTCTGGTTTGGAGTCCATGTTAAAGTATAGTTGTCATCTCTTCTTGCCATAATCCTGATGTAAGGTTTCAGTGAGTTTGCAAACTGAGAGGCCAGGTATAAATGAATTTCTGCTCTTTCCAGACATTCTGTGGAGTTCTCTCACACATCAGAAGGGGTTGGATGAGACAGAGAGGAAAAATATGCCTTACATGATGTTCAGTTTGCATCATTAATGAAACAAAGAACCAATGTTCACAGCCATTTAAAATTTAAAGTTATCAGTGGGAACTTCTTGACAGCACATTTTTTGTTGCATGTAATATGACATTCGTCTCTCCACCAAGGATCAGATATACAATGAGGTCCAACAGATGACCTTGGGATGTATAATATAGTAATATGTGTAACAGTTCTTATGAAATGTTTTATCATTGAGGTGATACTGTTAAGGTGGGTTATAGGAAATTACATGTGCTGTAAAATTCCTACCCAAATGGACGTCTTATAATCAAATTTGGCTGGCACATTTCCTGAAGATGTGTACTTGTAAGATGGATATTTAATGGAAAATGATCACTTCTGCACAGATCAAGGACTGATAATTTGAGGTACAATGAAAGGGCTGGACTACAAAAGGCCAAATGTGAAGGTGTGTATTATTATCAGTATTGAGGAGAGGGAGGTTTGATTGGGAACATATATCTGCAGTCAAGAGGCTCCTATCATCATCACACTTTTGAGCCCCCACTGGAAGTTTTCTGCATTGAAGTCCTCCAGAAGGATAAATGTAGGAGGCAGCTAAGACAGGGTTTATGATCCTTACATCCATTTTCTGTAAATTTTAGTTGTACAATAGTTAAGAAGTTCTCATTAGATTTCCTCATTGCTCATATAATTTATGCTGTTAGTACTGATGACCTCTTAGCACACATTAAGAGAAGTATGTCTCTCCAAGTGATTGTGACAAGATCCTAGAAGTGTGGATTCTAGGAGTAATTTGGTTTGCTTCCCATTCAGTGTTTCAACTAGAAGTGAATCATTCTGTAAGAAAGATGTATCTATTCCTTTACCAGCTGTGCTTTCAAGGGCGCTCTGTATTTATTTATGATATATAATGGTGTCATAGGTAAGGCTATACCGAATCAAGTCAACTGTTATAGATTAGGCCTTGTGACCTCTTCCAACTCAAAATGACTTCTGAAATTATGGATCAGTTCTGACATTTGGCAGGACCCTTTGGAAGAATAATTAGCCTGTCACAAGACATCTGCCTATACAGGACAGCACAACAGAAAAATTAGTACAAACAACTATGCATAGAGTGAGATTTGAACATGTGATTCCAGTATCTACGTAGCCAAGACCCATGTCCTAGATTGCGTACTCACTGAAATCAATAGAATCAAATGATAAGATAAATAATGGACTGGATAGGATGTGGGAGGAAATAACTATCCTGACATTTTCCTGGAGGCACTGAAGGGAACCACAAAAATGTAGTGTAGTCAGTTTCTGGAACAAGATGGAACCTCAACTCTCTCAAATACAAACAGGAGTGCTAACTACTTGGTCATTTAAACACATTTTACTTTGCCTAATTACACCATTTTTGTTTCCTAATTTATGATACATGATTTCAATGTGTTTTTATCGCTGATAAATTTAAAAACAATTTTGTTATGACCCACAGATTTGACTCATTTTATTCCTTTCGTTTTTAATTTAACTGAGTGGCATCAAAAAATAAAACATATAAGTTGTATGTTGTGTCTGCAAGTCAGATCTTGCATGCCATTGTTCTCTTGAATATAGCGGTAACTTTGAAGTCACGCCATCTGTGTGCAAGTTCAAACATGCACAAGCACTGCATATGCTATGGACTGGATGACTTGGGTTCGATCCCAGATGGAAGCAGAGGATTTTTCCTCTAGCCTCTATGTCCAGACCAGTTCTGGAGCTCACCCAGCGTCAGTGGGTATTGGGGTCCTTTCCCGGGAGGAAAGCGCAGTCTGGGCGTGGTGTCAACCACTCACTCCCATCTAGAACAGCTTTACTTTATACACATAAATATGCAGAAGAAATTCCTCCACTTGAGTGAGGCAAAGATAAAAGACGGGATTTTTGTTGGCCCACAAATAAGGAAACTTACAAAAGATAAAACTTTTGATCCTATTTTGAATGAAGTTGAACTACCTGTTTGGACAGCATTCAAAGATGTCTGCAGTGATTTCTTTTGAAACACTAAAGTAGACAACCACCAGGAAATCGTAGAAAGTCTCCTCCAATCATATGAAGCAGTTGGGTGCAACATGTCACTAAATATTCACGTCTTACACTCACATTTGGATTTCTTCCCACAAAACCTTGGTGCACCAAGATATTGCTGTTATGGAAAAACGGTACCAAGGGAAGTGCAGCAATAACATGCTGTCAGATTACTGCTGGAGTATTACCAGGGATGTGCCTGAGACTAATTACAAACGGAAGTCATAAGCTAAAAATTTGTAAGTATATAATTATTATAAGGTAATACTGAATTAAGTATGTTTTTAACCAAGGGTAATAGAAATATTCTGAAGATATATCTGTAAACAGCATAAAAACAGTTCACGAAGTCATGTAATACAAAAGGAAACAATTTTAAAAAATTGTGTATCAGTGTTATTTTCAAGGGAAATGTTGAATTCAATGAGAATGTTGTTCACCAGGGATTGGTAACCTTTCCATTATGGGGGCTGTATTGGCTATTCATATTTTTGTTGAGGGACACAGAAAATTAACAATGTCATGGACAGTAAATTAAAATGCATTTCTTTGCTTGAAAATGGATAACAGCTGTATTTATCCATACAAATGAGTTAATAGTAATCTCTCAATATGCCTAATGTTTAGAAAAACAAAGAACATACATGACTTCATGGAAGAATATTCAGAATGTTATCCAAAATGTTTGAAAAGTAAAAAACACTATACTAATTAATATTTTATTATTATTGTTCTTTGAAAAATTAAATCACATTATAACTATGAAAATCACTTCTGAAATGTTTGTCAGTTTCTACCAGACAAGATAGCACAATATCAAAAAGACAGTCATCCTCAGTGTCGTTGCCATGAGAACCTGATATTTCACCACATTATTACTATACTTAAATATAAATGCAAAGCAGTAGTTCTGTAAAAGAAATATGGTGATACCATTAATTTATATTAAATGGGAATCCTACAAAACCTGAGGCATTTATTATTTCACCTTATTGTCAGAAAAAATTTCAAATAGTGCACAGTTTCCAACATTGACTTAGGAAAGTCTGTCTATATTTGGCTTTAAATCCACTGTGGCAATCCCCAGTTGCTGGTGCAGATGTTCATCTGTTAACTTGGAACAAAAGTCATGTTTCCTACAATTCTAAAGAGATAATGTTTGCTCATAAATCTAATTGATTGCAAACACTGAATTTCCTGATTTTTTGGGAAGACTTCAAAAGGGAGTCCAGGTCTGGTGGTTCACAGGTGAATCAATAGTCTGTACTCTTCAATAAGAGAAATTGTTTGTCCTTCTCACATTGTCTAATTCCCACATGGGACAAAAATAAAATTCTTTATGTGGTTCATAATGGTGATATTTATGAATAATTATTTGAATACTTTTCTGTGTAGTAACCTATTACACTGAAAATAAATGCACTTTATCTGCAGTCTCAAAATTAATAAATCAGTACACTTTCTATGTACTTGCAGTTCATTGTCATACTGAGTATTTCTATTCGTTTTAAAATAAATCTTCACTTTTGCACTTTGTGCATTATCTCCCAAGAATAATTTTGTGTAACCAAACTGCACATATTTGCAGTAAATGAAAAAAATGCCTTTATTTTGTTTCATCTAACAAAACAAATTTCTTAATATAATGAAGTGTTTTGAGATTTACTGGGTATTCATATTTGCAGCCTGTGTCAGAATTTTAGTGAGATCTGATAGATTTGCATTTGTCCTAACTGCTTCTCTGTCAAAATGAGTTCGACTTGCTCTATACCCAGCTCTTCGTAAGAACTGAATTACAATATCAACTCGTAACAATTGTGGTCCTTTAAGACTATGACGATGCAAGTTGAAATAGAATGGTGGAGCTGAATCCTTATCAGAATCCAAAGTAATTACTGGATTCATATTTTCACTTTTAATAGTAGAAACGGAAATCAATTTTCCAGAATTGAGAATTTCCCTATCTGATGGCACATCATTATGTACTTTCAGTCTCTTTACTGAATTTTCTTCTTCTGTTTCATGTTCACGTTTGACAACAAAGTTGTTTCCTTGTGGTTGTGGTAAATTGTTTTCATTCGTAATGCTACATCTACAACAGAAAATATAAAATCAATTGTGTGAATAGGTAATCAACTACAGAATTGTGGAATTTTTTAAGCAATTTTTGGCAGAATTTTTTTATAAATGTCTGTGACAAACAAAAGTTTATATAATGAAGATTATATAAAGTTTGGTATCATCCACTCTGTTTAATTAATTTGATTAAAATAGATTTTATTTTACTAGAAGCTAGTAGAAAGGTGGGCCTAGAAATAAATTCATAAAAACTAAGTACATGTTAGTATCCCGTCAGCAGACAGGTGGGCAAAATCATATTAGGGTGGCTAATAAATCTTTTGAAAGTGTAACAAAGTTCAAACATTTGGGAACAACAATAACAAATCAAAATGATATTCTTAAGGAAATTAGGAGGAGACTAAATTCTGAAAATGCTTGCTACTTTTCACTACTTTTCAGTTCAAAATTATTTGTCTTCCCATCTGATTTCTAAGAACCTAATGATTAAAATATACAAAACAATAATTTTGCCTGTTGTTTTGTATGGGTGTGAAACAAGGTCTCTCACTCAGGGAGAAACACAGATTGTAGGTTTTTGAGAATATAATGTTGAGGAGGATATTTGGGCCGAGGAGAGAAGACAATGGGGTATGGAGAAAACAGCATAATGATGAGCTTAAAAATTTTCATTCCTCCCCCAATATTGTCAGGGTGATGGAAGTCAAGAATGAGATGGGCAAGGCACATGGCATGCATGGATGGGGCAAAAGGTATGCACTGGGTATTGGTCAGGAACCCTGAAGGGAGGAGAATGCTGGGAAGACCTAGATGTAGATGGGAGGATAATATCAGGTGGGATCTATGGGAGACAGGAGTTGAAGGTGAATGGATTTTGCTGGCCGAGGACAGGGACCGGTGAAGGGCTTTGGTTATTTCGGTGATGAACCTTTGAGTTCCCTAAGCCATCCAGTTAGTTTACTTAGCTTTCATTTGCTTAAATTTCTGTTTTATCTCTAACAGTAAATAAATCTATCTTACTCAAGTTTTAATTAGGTTTGAATTTGAAGTACTTGTACAACTACATTATAAGTGTTAATTAAAATATATCTGCTGATATTATTTGTTAATTTAGAAACTGTCAATAGAATAGAATACAATTTAGTTTTTATGCATATTATTCAATACTTGGGTAAAATAATTACAAGTTAGTTGATCTTGAACAATAATGCAAATGTTGTTCACAGCTGTATTTTGAACCCTCCCACTCACTGACTCAAGACTCATTCAGTTAAGTTTATGTAGTCTTAATGATCTTTCTTGTAACAAAGAAATCTATAAACAAAACCTTAAAAAATAGGAACTTCTCTCATGTATGTAATGACAACCAGAACATTAAAACTGTCAGTGAACGTAGCAACTACTTCATTACTCAAAGTCGGGATCAGTTCATGGGAACAGAAGTGGGGGGGGAGGGGGGTAACTGCCACAAGAAGTTTGCTCTGCATGCTTCAGTTGCCTCATAAATTAAAATAATTTTGTTTATAAAACTTTATTATAATATATTATATAAAAATAATTTTATTTTATTTTAAAGAACAAACAGGTATGCCACAAAGTGCTATTTCTTTGGTGATGAATAATTACAAAAAATGAAATCTACTAAAACTTTTTAAAAATCGGGATTAACAATTCTGATGGATGCTTATGAAAGAGATTACTAAGTGGAGCTAAAAAAGTGTTTTTCTGCTGGATTTGACATTAGAAATTTATCTTTTCTCATGTCCCCCCCCCCCCCCCCCCCCCCCCAAAGCATGTCTCAAACACACACACCCAGGGGGCATCCACCCCACCAGTTTTGTACTCAGTGGTATATATAAAATAAATTGCAGTAAGTGCAGATTTTTGTCTGCATAATATAGCTTACCTTGCTTCAGCCACTAACTGCCCTAACAGAACACTGGCTTTTACTTTCCAGGGAAACTTGCAGCTGTGATGATACATAGCAACTAGAAACTCCTCATTAAAAATACTTCCAGACCATACTGGCCCTAGCTCTAGCACGACTTTGCCCGGCAAATTACTTGAACAGTCGCATCCAAGCAAGGATGATGGTGACTCTGGTACAAAAAATACACAGAAAATACTAAGAAAGTCAGTGACTGATCTATTACATAAACTGCTACACATAATCTGACCAAAATAATATACTTAATCAACATATACTAATTTCCTATTGCAAAGAAAACATAACACTTCTCCTTCACAAAGATCAAATGGTCAATTTTTTAGGGAAATAATCACAGTTTATTCTGAGAATCATATGAAACCCATGGATTCACTCTGTTGTCAAAATGCAGTTGCTCATTGTTAAAGCAGATGATATATATAGTTACCACTGGGATTCAAAGGTTAAAAGTGATGTTCTGAAATATTCAAACACATTTCCTATCAATATAAGATGCTCTGTGATTGCAACTAAAGTTTTCCTGTGATATCCACATTCATATCTGAATGTTTGTGACCTGCAAATATTTTTATAACTTCTGCTTAAGTTCATATTGTTACAAGAGTTTCTGTTGATATCATATGCTTTGGTTGACGGCAGGATGGTATTATTCAAGCTACGTTGGCAATAACAAAGTTGTTATATTGGTGATTTGCTCTATACTTAAAAATTAGGACCAATAAACTAATACCAGCTGCAGAAGCCTAGTCATACTCACCAATGGGATAGTTGGTTAGGGGATAGAAAGTTCTGTCCTCACACATACTGCAATGGATGAGTTTCCTGATATTTCTTATGCTCTTATTGGCATGTGTTGGACCACGCTTAACAGTCAATAAAACTGTGAATGATGATTTGAATGCTACAGAACACAGCACATGGACACCCTTGTTATATCGAGCTGCAGCCCTGGAAATTAAATAACTTTATCATAACCCACATCATACTGTATTGAAGTGACTTTAAATCTTTATAACTTTACTGTCAGCATGCTATAACATCCACACCAAACTTAATACATATTTTATGTAACACATGATGAATCTCCAGGAAAACGACAAAGATGAAATAACTCCATGGATCAGAGATCTTGAGAAGCAAACAGTTGCTCATCTGGTGAAAAAAAAATCCACATTTTATGGAGCCTGAAGGTTCATTAGCATGTTCATACCACTGGCCACTACCCTGAGCCAGATGAATGCAGTCCAACCCCTTCTTATCCTATTTCTTTAAAAAACTATTTTAAAATTATAAAATAGCTGTTTTATGGGTTGTAGCATCATGTAGTCCAGTAGATGTTTACCAAAAATTTCAGATGTCATTGCTGCCTCCATCACCAGGGCCATCATCATTGCTCTGATGATGGGGGCACCAATGACCTCTGAAACATTGGTAAACTTCTACCAGACTACAAAGTGCTGCAACACAGAAGACAAAACTCATTAATTTATGAAAATATAAGTACAGTCTGTTCAACAAATCTACTCACTATACTAGCATCTACAATATTTAAGATTTTAAACTCTCCATTCTGAATTCTTTGACAACTTTTCAAGATAATTTATACTTCCTCTACTTATTAGTCTTTGGTTGTCAAAGATTAATAATGAGAAAAAACAAGGAAAATGTGACACAATGAACTTGAAATACACATCTGTGATATTTATTTGTAGAAGCACCTAATAAAGTTTATTATGGAAAATATCTCAAGCACAAATATATTAACTTTGAACAGAGAACAATACAAATGGTGCTTTGTCTGTTATTAATGTATTTTACACACAAATATGCAAATTATGCATATATGATACCAATATATACTTTCAACTTTCCAGTTTCATATAACATTTATATTCGTTTCCTGCAATTTTCTTTCACTGACAGTTCTGGAGTGAGAAATACTCATACATGTTAATAAAACACATTTCTTGCAATTAATTAGATAAATCCAAATATATTTTCTTCAATGGAGGCTTCTTAAGCAGTTTCTATTCATAGCACAATATTATACCAACCTGGCTACTGCTGCCAAAAACAATCGAACTGCAAGTTCTTTTTTGTAGAGTGTTCTTGTAACAAAACCAGCATAGTTTCTTAATGCAATTTCAGGTGTTATGGCATGGAGTGCAGCATCATCAGTGGTAGTTATTGCCAGTATCCCATCCTTGGGGAGGTTTCGAAACGCGGAGTCCAAATAACATGCAGCAACTGTGTGGCAGTTTAAGGAGCTGGAATGAAAATATTTACACTATTAAGAATTTTTCACTAAAATTATTTCTTCATTAATTTAAACTAATGATACCAAACCAGTGCAAACGTATGATTTTTACAGTGTTATATAATGGTTTTATATGCATTTCAACACAGAAGCAAAATTTAGAATGACAGTTAATACCCTAAAATAACAATACCTAAAACACTGCCATTCAGTATCAACCAGAATGTTCCATTACCATACAACATATAAATTAAATATGTTTTTCCCTACTTATTCATTTATTTATGTTATGTTGTAAATATTTATAAAATTTAAAAAAAGGTAAAGCTGTCCCACTGCATCAATATTTTAAAATAACTATTTCCATGCTTTTTTCCTTATATGTTTTGCACTACAGTCCAAGATGCACATTGCAACCAGAAGTAGCAACCAGGATCAAGTTACATGCCTATAATTTCATCATTAATATTAACTGAAATAAACTGCTCACTTATCCTGAATAATTGTAGGTTACTAAACTGTGTGTGTGGACACCTGTGGCAATGAACCTTCAGGTTCCATAAAAGGAAGAAAATTTATTGATTAGCTGAGTAATTGTTTATCAAGGACTCTGTTCAAGAGTTACTTATTTAAAGACGTATTGATTTCAGAGACTATTTAGCACTTGCAATGTGAGTATGATTTGCACATTATGAGAGGGAAGGCATATTGATTATTTCAAGTTACTGTACTGCTACTGCTTTGACATTCTGGAAAGGGGGTGGGGGTGGGGGGGTGATCTGTTAGGGCAGCTGGTTTCCTGAGGTTTGGATTGAAAACCTTATGAATACAACTCAGGCACATTACACACATATTTACTTTATTTTAGAGGGATGTTTTTAAGATTACATACAATCTAGGTAATAAACTACTGTTAGTGGAGACTACTAGAAGGGATAGCCACCAAATTTTGTGCTCTTTCAACTCTCATACTCTTCAGTCCTATATTGTACAAACATACACACATCACACATGTATTTTTATATCAACAAATACAGCCAATAGCTGTGTTGTAAGGACAGACTTACATAAAATTGTAGGTTTGTTCATGAAGTAAAGCGCATGTATCTCTATTTAGAACTTTAACATTCAAATCATTCAGCTGTGCATTCTCTTTAATCCTTTCACAAGCTTTAGTTCTTGAATCATTGATCGTAACACCTATATTATCAAGAATGTGCTTCTTCCAGAGAAGCCCCATAATACCTGAGGCACCAATGCCATCTAGGCACCGTACAGGTTTAAAACAAGATTTTCCACTCTTCGCATATACAGCAAGGGCTGTGCTGATTAACGCCCTGTAGGAAATATGAGATAAAGTGTTTAGTATTGACACAGAAATTCAGACTTGGTTTGTGGCAACAGCATATTGACAGTGTTACCAGATCACTAGAATTACAAAAAAATATAAGCACCTACACTATCACATACTTATTCAGAGTGTCACAAAAATGGCACTTAATGACAATGGGAATGGGTAGAAAATATCAAAATAAAAGGAAACTGTAAAACAAAGAATTCTCTAGAAAGAATTTTCTATAACTCTCAAATGGGGCAAGTACATTAATCATGGTGTGGGAAGACTAGGGGATATAGGATGTGAGAAACGGCACATGAAATACGAAGATAGCTCCTTGTCAGATCATGGCAGACAGTGATCAATACTCAGCATAAAGCAATAATCTTGCTGCTGTACTGTGTAGTCATCCTGTGACAGTAATACATCTGCAACTGACAGTTAGGAGTCAAACATTATGTTATCCATTTAATCCTTTAGGATGAAGACTTGTAACCATAAGTCTCATGCCATATAAATATCATCATCTCCAATAATGTAAATGGCTTTTATGGGAACATGAATATGATCCAGACCCTTGGAGCATATCTTATGGTCAGATAAAGCAGCATTCACACATAAAGGTGTCTTCAACAGTCATAATCCCCATGTAACACATGAGTGGGGCCATCAAGTTTGCTGGAACATTAATGTGTGGACCAGTATCATTGGCAATTGTATGGTTGGGCCATACTAACAGACCACCTTAATGGCCTTGCTTACTATGTGTTCCTGCAGAAAGTGCTACTGGTGATGCTTGAAGATGTGCCACTGGCAGCTTAGCATGGCATGCGATTTCAACGTGGTATGACATTGGCAAATTTTAGTGCACAGACCCAACAGCACCTCAACACACAGTTTCCTGACAGGTGGCTAGGATATGGCAGTCCTGTATCATGGCCTGCCATTTCACCAGACCTAAACCCTTTGGAATCCTTCATTTGGAACACCTGAAAGATGCTGTTGCAAACACTGATGAAGACAAATCACAAGATGTGCAAGCTAGTATTCCATGATGTACAGTTGCACATTGGTGAACGCATGGTGGAGACTTTCAACACTTACTGTAACTACCACCCCCTTAGTTAAGTATCTGCTGTGTTCCGTGTCAGCAAGTATATGCTTCTGAAGTGTTTATTAGGTGAGCTGTATATTCTTCTCATTTACACAATTCTTCTGTATTTACTCACTTGTTTGGGAGTGTCACCCGCAGTTTCTTTGTAGTTATACAACCCTCCATGTGTCTCAGCACCACCACAAATTTCCTTGCTACTAATGACTGGTGTGACTACTTGCTGCATATGACAATTCTTACTATGATCTTTTGAGGACAAGTAGAGAATTCTTTCTTTTACTGGGATACTGGGAACGACCCGTTCTTCAAGTGCCTGAGCACTACGGGTCCCAAATTTTCGTTGGCTTGATCTATAGACATTCGGTAGGACTCCTTGAACAAGGGATCGGCCCGTTGCAAGGCCTCTACCTGTACACAGGATAGCACAACACAGATAAATGCGGACAAACATCCATGGCTTGAGTGGGATTTGAACCCACGGTGCCAGTGACCAAGCAGCACAAGGCCCACGCCTCAGATCACGTGGCCACTGCGGACCCCTCTTCCTTTTACATTTTCATTTTAAGGTTTTCCACCTGTTCCCATTGTTATTATGCATCAGTTTTCCCACACACTGTATATGAGTTCTGTGTTGTGCTGTCCTGTGTACAGTATCTGTATATGAGACATTCAAATGCTTTAGTTACATATTTATCGTCCATTTAATGATTCTGTTAACAGCTCAGATTGTAAAGGAGTGAAGTATAGCATGATTAGTAAATAAAGAAATGAAAAGTTATGCGGAAGGAATCTAACATGGCCTAATTTAAAATACTATCTCAACATCTGTCTGGAGAGACTGGGGAAAAATATGAATACTTTTAAACTGAGATTTGAGCCTTGGACCTCCTGAATACAAGGCACAAGTGTTAACCATTTGACTGTAGCATTCTGTATACTCCTTAGTTGTCACCAGATAAAACAACAAGGTAAGAGAACTCTTCTAATAAACTATAGAATTACTAATTTTGACAACTTCAAATACTTCCATGTATTGAATTTTGTGATCATTGTAAATTTACCTAAGGGGTAATGCAAATTCAATATGTCTTGTGAAAATGCAAGATTGTGCACAAAATTCCCATATACATGATTAAATAATTGGGAATTACCTTCTGGCTACTGTCTACAGAAAATAAACTTTACCTACACATTAGTTTGTAGTGCCTTCATACAATAAACCCGAATTTTTTACTCCTGGATAAAAATGCACTGAGTAAACTATGATGCAGACAGAATTACAAAAATTGTACTACACAGCAAGACACCTCCATGATACTGCATTCACTGCTACATAATAAGGCCGTGTTCTATAGCATAAAATTAAAGGTATTCATTCTAAACCCTAGAAATTGGTGCCGAGTGATGAGCTGCTGCTAATTTAACCTTTCAACACGGCAATACAGTATAGGTATTTCTTCCATTATCATTTATTTTCTGAAAATATGTATAAATCTGCACCTTAAAATGTACCACACCAGGTCACAGACTTATCAATAAATACGCGAAAGGTTCCAAACTGAAATGTAAATAACTTGTTGATAAAGTCGTAGTATGTACAATTCTTATAAAAACTGCAATGAAGTAATGTTTGAGACAGACTCGCCAGTCTAATTCCGAAAGA